TTATTTATTTATTTATTTATTTTTTCCCCCAAAGCCCCAGTAGATAGTTGTATGTCACAGTTGCACATCCTTCTAGTTGCTGTATGTGGGACATGGCCTCAGCATGGCTGGAGAAGCGGTGCGTCGGTGCGCGTCCGGGATCCGAACCCAGGCCGCCAGCAGTGGAGTGCGCGCACTTAACCGCTAAGCCACCAGGCCGGCCCTGAAAAAAACCATCTTAAAGGGGCACAAAATCTTACAGCAGTTATATCAGCCGGTGGGTTATAGGGGAGGGGATTAGGAATGTTGACCTTCTGGTGTTACAGACTGGGATTCGACACACCAGATCTTTCAGTTTTCACTGATGATGGCTATTAGCCTAGATTCTCTGTTCAGGGGTCATCACATTCCTAAGGAACTCAAAAGAATAAAGCTATCTTATCGCAGCTGGGAGGTACATGCACAAGCAGGGGTCATAAAATCTACAGAGCAGTTAGATCTCCTGGAGGGTGCATATCCAGCTGGGTTAGTTTGTCAGAGGTCATTCAAAGTTACAATAGGGTTTCTTTTCTACAATGGCTTCCCTCATGTCAACCTTGTCTTGAGCCTGTATCAATTCCCCCTTTGCTGTTTAATCCCTCAACCTTGAGGGATGTCCTGTTCTTCCATCTTACTGAATCAATCTCTTAGTAAGATGGTGATGCAAGTGGGCTCCTAAAGTTAGGCCTATATTGTGGAAGCAAATAACCAGGTAATTAATAAGACAAAAAGAAAAACAAAGTTAATGGTGGGAGCAAATTATAAACCAGTTTCTGAGTCCAGGGGGCAGCCAGTCAAAAAGATTTCTAGATGTCATGACAGAGTCAAAGCGTCTTTTGCAGTTTGAAATGTCTCTAATGATGTCATCGGGTATTCAGGTACCTCTCTGAGTGGCTTACACAGTAACAGACATGAATCTCTCTTAAGTTTATATCAAGTCCACTAGCTTCAGTTTGCAAGGCTTCAGGAAAAAGGGCAAGTTCGGTTCTCAGTGATTCCAAATGAAAATGACAGAAAAAAATTGAAAACATTAGTTTGGAGATTTGTAGCCAGATATTTCAGGAGACTAGAAGAATTCAGGATCCAGTCCAGTCAACAGATATAAAACAGAAACCTCAAAGACAATTATCAGAACATCCACAAATGTGTATTACAGTTTTATTGAAATAATTTTTTTTTTTTTTTGTGAGGAGGACCAGCCCTGGGCTAACATCCAATGCCAATCC